TTGGTTAAGGATTTTTAGGATATGCTTTTTCTATCAAAATCAGGACTAATATTGCTATTTAAAAAAATGTTCAGACTTTATTTTTTAAATGTTTAGATTTTTATAAATACACTAAAAATTTTTTGGCAGGGGTAGTCTTTGGTAACAGCGCAGCAGAAGTGATGTAAATAATTCTTCATCCTTTTGTAAGACAACACAAAATGTCAAAGCTTAATTAAAAGTAGTTCTAGGTATTTCTGAAATTTCTTTCTGTTCAGTTCTGTGGGTTTGTGTAATTGCGTTTTTCTTCAAAATGACTTCTGTGTTTCGATGTGCTGTGACACCCTCATAAACTTCAGCTAGGTACAAAGAATATTATGCTGCTGACAGGGGAGCAGAGGCTGTCAGCTGCACAGGAGGCGCCCAGGGAAAGCATATTTAGTTTTAGGTTTTTATTCTTAGTTGTCTTGCGCATTGTTAGCAGTAGGGGTAAAACTTTGGGAGCAAGTGTAACTTTTTAATTGGTGTTCCTTAGGGTTGACAAAACGGTCAATACAGCTACTACTGTTTATTATTTCTTTTCAAGACTGCCGTGCTAAATAGAATTCCAGAGGCTTAATCCCAAGACGTTAACGTTAGGTGGGTAGTCAGTCAAGTGTTTGCCTCAGAGCGGGTGTGATGAGTAAGGGAGATAAGGGGTAAGGTCAGACCGCTGCTCATCTGGTGCGCTGCGTTCCTGCAGCAAGTACCAGATCTGCAGAGAGGTTTCAGAAACAGCTCCTTGGGTCACACTGCCAGGCAGATGCATCCAGTCGGGATTGTCGGCGGGGTGGATGATGTGTGAAACGGGGGGATTGTCGCCGCTGCAGGGCTGCAAGTGTCCTCGGCCTGTTCAGAAACCAGAGCTCAGGTCCTGCTCCAACCTTCAAGTGGATGTGACAAAGGGTGTTTTTATTTTTTTAATTATTAGTATTTTAACCTGCTGCTGCTGAGTGCGTGTGGGGATTGAGGACCCTCCTCATGAAGGGCAGCCCCATGGCAGGCGGGTGAGGGGAGCGCGCGCTGCGACTCTCCTGGGCCACAGAGCCCGCAGCCCTTGGAGTGGGAATGGGAGCAGGAGCGGGAGCGGGGGAGGGAAGGAGAGAGGTGCCTCACTGGTGCCATGTGCAAGAATCACAGGGTCACAGCATGGCTGAGGTTGGAAGGGACCTCTTGGGATCATCGAATCCAACCTCCTGCTCCAGCAGGGACACCCAGAGCATGGGGCACAGGGCGGCATTCAGGCGCTGTGAGACACATGGACAAGGCAGCTAGACCAAAGGTTTTGATTATAGGAGGCAATTGAGGTGAATGGTTACAGATCGATGATGCTTGTAAGGAAGGGAAGGAGAGAGCTCAGCAGGAAAAACCAGACTGAACAGCCTCCTTCAGAAGAGGGAAAGAGTTTATTTGCGTGGTGAAGGTCTGCAGCGGGCTCAGCTGCAACTGTCTCACCTTGCGGAGAGAAGACGGGGAGCATAAGGAGTTTGGTTGAACTGCAGGCTCTGTGTTGACCTCGAATGCAAGAAGGAAACAAACCAGAAATGGAAACTGCGTTAAATGACTAAGGGCAAGTGTAAGTGAATGGGGTGCAAAGATGCAGGAACAGAATTAGAAAGGTCAAGGCACGAAGTGAGATGCAATTAGCAGGAGAAATTGAGAGCTGCAATAAATCATTTTTAGGATGTCAAAGTCTTTGCTTCATTTTCCCAGAAGGATCTAGCGTGGCAGCGGGCCTCTTGGAAACGGCTTCCTGGCTAAAAATAATGGGACCGTTTGGAGCTTTGTGTCATCCTGGAGGGAAGGCCGACACGGTGGAATCTACTTCGCGTCACGTGGCTCTTACCCCTCACCGTAATCCTGGATTTTCTCCTTACGTTGTGGCAGGCTCGTGCTGCCCGTGGTTATCTGCAGTGTGTCGCCGCCTGCCTCACATTTTTCCTGTGTGACATCCAGCGGGGCTCCCGCGGGAGGCCTCTTAGTCTCATCTTTCCTCACCCGCAAGCCGTGCAGCCTCTCCCCTCGTCAGCGCCCAGAGGACCCACCGCGCTGCCCCTTCCCCGGCATCAGCAGCATTTTCCAAGATAAATCCCTCACCTATCCGGGGATTAGCATGTCTAAAACGTGCAGCTTCTTGCGTGGATCGAGCCATCCGGGCACCTGCATCCGGAGCCCTGGCACACGCTCCCGCTGGGAAGGGTGGGAGCTGGGCCGTGGGGTCGCTGCCTCTGCTCAGAGCACAAAAATGGGGCTTGTCTGACAGATTGGGAGGTGTTTGCTGGAAATGTAGTGAGGAGCACAGGGATTTTTTGTTACGCTGTTAAAAAATGGGGGGAGGAGCAAAGTGACTTCTGTAGAGGGGGCAGAAATGCCAATATCTTCTTTTTTTCTTCTTCCCCTCACTACAATTTTCTCCAATTGTTAATCATGTTTGCAGTGGGTTTTACAACTTTGCTTGAGTTCTGTATCTCCTAGGACGTGGCCCAGGGCTCTGACTGGTGTCTGCAGGCTGTGGCCGTGGGTTGGTGGCCCCGTGCACTTGCTCCTTCGAAAGCACACAGCCTGTACTGCAGAAGTGACATGCTTGGGCCCACTGTGGGAAGGGAGCCGCTTGGAAAAGGCTTTGTTTCCAAGCCTGGAAGTGATGTACATGTAATTTTTTTCCCCTTCCTCCCTCTGAGTTTTTGAAGCCAGTTGTCAAAGAAGAGCCTCAGAGCTGTGGCTAAAAATAAAGGGTTATGCAGCAAAACAGTTCAGCAGTTGAGGTAGGAGTCTGACAAGCTGGGACCCGTGTGAAAGGAGAGGTGCACCCGTCATCTACTCCCTACTATTATTTTTAAGCTCAGTCATTCTTTTACTTGCTCGTGGAAGTGGCAGGTAATGCAGAATCTGGTGATGTGTAGTATACTCAAAATAGACCTTTGCGTTTGGAAAATACACCCATTAGAAAGAGCAATTACTGATTACATACTGAGTTGTTTTTAGGGTAATTCAGATGTTTTTCCATAAGGCTGTTACCAAGCTTATAATTACTTTTGTCTATTTTTATTTCAGTAAAGCATTATGAAGCAAACCATAACAAAAAATTGGAAGCTGCTCATAGCCTAGTACAGTGAGACAGCGACTCCACAGCATCCATGTCCTTGTGAGCAGACGGAGAGCCAGGAGGAGATCTCCGTCGCCTTCCTCTGCTGTTACCTTAACCTGCTCCTTGAGCTGAAGTCCCGTTTCACACAACACTCTCCTTGTCTCCGTGTGTTACACGGGCTGGGAGGGTCGCCCCACGGGGCAGGGGCGGTCTGGGGGCGCGTGGGTCATGCCGGTCCTGGAGCCCGGCTCCTGGTGTGTGAGCGCGACTGGGAGCCGGTTCTGACCGCGCGGGGCCGAGCTGAGCGGCCCGGGCTGGAAGGGGGTGCAGGTTGTCCCGCACGTCCCCTGTGCAGCATGTCCCTGTTCATGAAGGGAGAATGCAGGGAGGAAGGGGCCAGGCTCTTCTCATTGGTGACCAGTGATAGGACGAGGGGTAATGGCCATAAGCTGGAGCACAGGAAGTTCCGTCTCCAGATGAGGAGGAACTTCTTTACTGTGAGGGTGACAGAGCAGTGGAGCTCCCTCTGCCCAGGGAGGCTGCAGAGTCTCCTTCTCTGGAGGTCTTCCAAACCCGCCTGGATGCCGCCCTCTGCCCCGTGCTCTGGGTGTCCCTGCTGGAGCGGAAAGGTTGGACTAGCTGATCTCTAGAGGTCCCTTCCAACCTTGAACATCCCGTGATTCTCCTTTTTTAAGGTTAGTGCTTCAGTGCGGCTGCAGAGGAACCAAAGGCTATGTACAGAGAACATTCTCGTCGTTAAAAGAAAGAATTTGGTTAAAGTTATCATTCTGGCCTATTTACAAGCCATTAGCAGCAATCCTTTCCCAGAACAGGGGCTGCTGTTTGAAATATCCTGTTGAAATGTCCTGAACTTCTTCTCTCTTGGTCCACTTTTCCTCTGCAGGTTTGTAGTTTTCTCTCCTCTGCAAGGCCAAAGAGTGTCTGTTGCGTTGGGCTCTGGTGGCGCTCGTGATGCTGAGGGCACCACGGCTGCTCCGCGCTGCCGTGGCCGGTGGCTTCTGGCGTCGCCGTCCTCCTGGCTGCGCGGCAAGCGAAGTGCTGCGGCCAAGCACAGCAGCGCTCTCGAGGCACGGGTGTGCAGGGGGTTCTCACTTCTATTTCTCTGTAGTTATTTTGTAAAGGGGTTAAGGGGATGTGGATGTCCAAGGGCCAGAGGGATAATGATAATTAAGAGTGATAATTTTAAAGTGTCAGAAGGTGCAGAAAACAAAGGTGTTGTTTAGCTTCTCTGTGTAACCTGATGCACCAAAACACCTGTAGAATATTTTGGTCTCACATGTAACTGAGTTTGCTGTTAGTGCCAGTCCACCGAGGTCCATGATTTGGTTGCCTGTTTTAACTGCAGAGATTTCCTTAGAGTACTTGCCCTGTGGAGGCTGCGCCAGAAATACCCTGGTGTCCCGCTGGTGCGCTGTGTATGCCCAGGCTGGTTTCATTATTCCTGTTAGATATTCCTGATGCAGGTTTATAAATATTCCTGTGGCTCGTCTTCTTGATGATGACCAGAATCCAGTGGTGTGAGGCAGGTGTTTGCAGCTTCAAACCGCTTTTAAGAGAAGTACATTAGAATGTTTCTGTATTGGAAGGTCTCACAGAAAGTGTTTTATGGGTCAAGTATTTTCTGTGTGTACGTGTGTATATATTATGTGTGTGTGCATATGTGTATGTATATATATGTACACATATAAATAAGTAAAAAAAAATAGGTTTTTTTATCCTTTCATTTTCCACTTCTCCTCCATCCCCAAACACTGACCGTCCTTCATGCTTCACAGTTCTCTGTTCTATTGAGGCAATCTTTGGGTGAGATTGGATGAGCCAAGATGACCAAAAAGCCTCTTACCGTTTTCCCCCTTTGCTATTCCTGTTGCAGATTTTGACTTGAACTATTTTTGGCATTGGAGCAAGTTCACCGACTACGTGCAGTGCGTCCTGACCTTCACTGGGGTGACGGGTTACATCACGTACCTGTGGCTGGACTCGTCCCTCTTCGTGGAGACGCTCGGCTTCCTGGCCGTGTTCACCGAGGCCATGCTGGGCGTCCCCCAGCTCTACCGCAACCACCGCAACAGGTCCACAGAGGGAATGAGGTAGGGCTGACCTGAAACCAGGGAGCCCGCGCGTGGGAATCACGGAATCCTTAAGGTTGGGAGGGACCTCTAGAGCTCATCCAGTCCAACCCGCCCCTGCACACGCAGGGTCACCCAGAGCATGGGGCACAGGGCTGCGTCCAAGCGGGTTTTGAGGATCTCCAGAGAAGGAGACTCCACAACCTCTCTGGGCAGCCTGTGACAGGGCTCTGTCATCCTCACTGTTAAGAAATTTTTCCTTCAGTTCCTGTGGAACTTTTGGTGCCTCAGCTTGTGGCCGTTTCCTCTAGTCCTGTCGCTGGCCACCACTGAAAAGAGGCCGCCCCCCTCCTCCTTACTGCCTCCCTTGAGGTATTTATAGACACTGATCAGGTCCCCCCTCAGCCTCCTCTTCTCCAGGCTGAACAGGCCCAGCTCCCTCAGCCTTTGCTCACAGGGCAGATGTTCCAGGCCCCTGATCATCCTGGTAGCCCTGCGCTGGACTCTCTCCAGCAGCTCCACATCCCTCTTGTCCTGGGGAGCCCAGAACTGGACACAGTCTCCAGATGTGGCCTCACCAGGGCTGCCTAGAGGGGACGTTCAGCCCTCTCGCTGAGGCTCTGTGTGGCATGGGAGCACATTTCCAAGCAGGGCGGTGTCTGCTCTCTCAGTTGTGCCTCTGGACAGGACAGCAGAGGACACGGTGCCCGCCAGGACCTCGTCCTCACCCGGAGCCGGGACGTGGCTGCGGGAGCTGGGAGCTGGGAGCGCGGCGCTATGGGCTCTGTGAGCACGTGCTTTCCCAGCCTCACAGGAGCGTTTGGGCTGGAAGGGACCCTAGGGATCACCTCATCCAGCCCCACTGCTCGGGGGCAGCTGCTTCGCACCTACTGCCCCGTCCAGACACGCGGCCGCGCGGAGAGCAGCGCGGTGCCCGTGTGGCCTTGCCTTGTTGCCTGCTCTTACAGGCAACTCTGCCTGTAAGCTTTTACAGGCAACTCTGCCTGTAAGCTTTTAAAAGGCCTCTCAGCATTTTCACATTTTCTCTGTTTTTCTCCCTGTTTCAGAAGCGTAGGAATGATAGTGGATTTTTTTTTCCTGCTTTTATTCTGTTTTGCCCTGCTCTCCTGGCCAGCACACCGTAACAGGCACAGCTGGGCCTTGCTAATAGCACTTGCTCGCCGAGGGCTGAGTAAAACTGCCAATTTTAGACATCTGTGTCCCAGTGGTAAAATTTGGTCTTATGCTGATGGGCAGAATATTACACTCCACAACATTAATGCACATATAGGAATTCAAGTGGCTTTACTCTACTAGCAGTGGACTGGAGATGGTACTAAAGAGATGGTACTAAAGAGAGACAGTATTTTGAGTCTGCTGCTAGTAACTCTGCCAGTCTAGCTCATATCAATTCCCCATTTTTTGGTAATACATGCTTAAATCATACATGACAAATGGCATTAGCATTTATTTTTCTCTGAAAGCTTGCAACTGACAATTCAAAAAATCTTAAATGTGAGAAGTTTACAGTAATGATGGGGAAACCTTCTGTAAACAAGTAGGTAGCAGAAAAGTTTAATCTTGTGCTTACTGTTGGGGTTGTTAAACTAGATTAGCTTGTCCTGCTATTTGCTGAATATTTCAGTGATAACACCAAGGTTTCCAAATTTGCAATTTGGAAATTGGAATTCCAAATTGCAAAGGCAACTTGTGAGACTTGTTTAAGGGAGAAAAGCTTACTGAGTTATATCAATTCACTGGGCTGTGGAGCCAGCGCGGCAGCGAGTTCGGTTCAGCAGGTGCCGTGACCATTTGTGACTTCAGCTGTTTTCTTTTTTAGAGTTTTCCCTTGATGGGAAATTTACTGGAGATATTTTTACTGTGGAGCAAACAAACAAAAAAGCCCTGAACCAAAGCAATTAGATGCTATGTCTGCTGGCGTTATTCCCTTTGCTCGTTTGCCTTGGTGATACTTTCATTAGCTCCTGAAGTTCTTCTCTAACTTGAAATGTTTTTGAGGGAATGCTTAGGAGTTTGCTTTGATGCTCAAGGCATTTTCTAATTGGCAGCCTCCTTCTCACAAGGTGAGTTAGGATTTTCTTCCAGTGTGTTTGTGTGCTTTGCATGCACACATTGCTTTGGAAAATCCTGTGCTTGTGATGCCCAAAAGTGCATTTACCTGCTAGACTTTGCTTGTGCTCTGGTTTGACTCTTCCCTTGATGCTTTTTTGTCTGTGACTTACAGTGCCATAATGCAGCATTATGGTGGCTGCTGCCAGGTACTCTTTTGCTTCTCCTTAATTACTCTCTTGGGGGATCTGGGTTTGAGTTTTTGGATTCCCTGTAGGTGCCGTTTAGCACAAGGAGAAGCTGTGTCCCTCGGAGCCGCAGCTTGCTCTCTCGTGAGGCGCTGGGCTCAGCGTTGCTGCAGGGCCCTCGTGTGCCAGCGCCCGGCACGGAGCGAGGCAGTTCAGGAAGAGCCGCGGGGTGAGACCCGTCGTTCCCCTGCCCTCAGGCAGGCCTGCGTGCGGTGAGTGGCACCGGCACGCGGGTTTGCCCAGGAATGTGCCCTTCCCGGCCGTGGGGAGCCGGGGCTGCGCTGCTTCCGCAGGCGCCAGGGCTGCCGCTGCTGCTGTCCCCGCGCTGCTCTGCAGCTCCAAGCAGCAGCCCCTGCGCTTCCCTGCCCTGTATCCTCCTGCGCTTCCCTGCCCTGTATCCTCCTGCGCTTCCCTGCCCTGTATCCT